GGTCATTTTGAGAGCTTACAAAGATGACTGCTTAACATACTGTAGTGATACTGATTTAATTTGTTTCTTAGAGCTGAAAAAATTCTCTTCAGAACCCAGAGAGATCTTGTGCAAAAAAATTGGGAGCAAAATGTTTTTCAACACACAACAACAAACAGTCAATCTTCACTTACCAACTTGCCACTATAAATACATAAAGAATTTAATCCAATTTAAAGTTGCACCTAATTATACACCTTAAAGAGTTAATAGCAAATCCAAAGAGACTAATGCGGAAAAAAGCAAAATAAGCTTTGTAGCAGAAGAAATGGTATAAGAGTTGCAGAAAATGGTTATTAATTTTTTTGAAGACATTTTTCCATCTATTGGTTGAAATATAAACTATAAAAACAAAGAATGTCCGAAAGGGAAAAGAACAACATCTCAAACGATAAAACTAAGTAATCTTTTCAAAATCTAAGTAAAATACTCTCCCCGCCCCCCACAATATCTGCACACTTGGGTATTTAGAGAAATTCTAATTATCAGTGCTAGTCGCCAGATACATTTTCTTTGACCTTTGAACTGTATCAAAGTAACTTCATCATACTGAGCTGGCTGTCAACATCACCCGCTGCCAACTCTTGGGCTACTCTTTTCACAACAAAAATTGGAATTAACCGTCACATTATAACGCTCCCATGGCTGAATGGGCTAGTATGTTCATTGACAGAATTCGAAACCGTGACTTGAAAAATGCATGCTTGATGAGTTTATTATAAGGGCTTTCCTTAATGCATAGGAACTGTTAAAAAAAACAAATTTATTCTGTATTTTATTTAATTTTTTATTAATAGTGGCTTATGAATTCCCTTACCTTCTTTACAAAAAATCCACGTTAGTATGTGCAAAGTATAATGCTGCGAAAATTATGAAACTCAAATGTAGGTAATCTTATCGCCCTCTATTGCAGGATATACTTACTAATAGAGCTAGGATGTAAAAATATTTTAAAGCCTGAACTCAAATGTAGGTAATCTTATCGCCCTCTATTGCAGGATATACTTACTAATTAGAGCTAGGATGTAAAAATATTTTAAAGCATAAACTCAAATGTAGGTAATCTTATCGCCCTCTATTGCAGGATATACTTACTAATTGAGCTAGGATATGTAAAAATATTTTAAAGCCTAAACTCAAATGTAGGTAATCTTATCGCCCTCTATTGCAGGATATACTTACTAATTGAGCTAGGATGTAAAAATATTTTCAAAACTTTTCTAAGCATGATACTTTATTTCATAAACTTTAAATCACGATGTAACTACGTCTATATTTCAAGTATGTATATTTGAATTTTTTTGAGAAACGTTCACCATTAAATATTTTATAAATGATTATTTCAATGTAAATGTTTTGGAAAAGAAAACCAAAAAGGGTAAATAAAACCAACTGGTATCTTAAAACACTTTGAAAAAATATACTAGCTCGAAAATAAATTTATTGAAAAACAGGTAAAAGCTTCTTATTTTATAAGTCATTAGGCTTAAGATTTGTTTACATCCTGGTAGAAAAGTAGAAAATAATAATAACATTCGATTTATTCGAACAAATGAAGTAATTATCATAAATAAAAATGTATTCGCGATACATATAACGAGTTCTGAATTTAGTACGATATGATATTCGAATCGGAAAATCTTTGATTTAATATTTCTAGACGTGGCGTCCATGACACGGCATCCAAGCCTTCCATGTCCTAATCGTCTCGTCCCAAGATGTGGTCAGATACTAAGATTGGAGACAATCACATAGTAACAATGTACTTTACCTGATTCACTACAGGTATTTGAAAATAAACCATACTGAGCCACTAATAACGGATAAATAACCTAGGATAAACTTTAGATCTAAGCTCAAGACGTTAACGATATATCCAGACAAACTACGTCTTTCGACAAATAACACTTCAAATGTGATTTTTGTTTTATTTAAAACCCGGCTAATTCATATTGCACATGTTTAAAAGAGGGCACCTTTTTTTCACGTGTACTAAAGAAGAGGGCACCCTTTTTCAGGTGCACTAAAGAAGAGGTCACCCCTTTTTCAGATGTACTAAAGAAGAGGGCACCTTTTTTTCAGGTGCACTAAAGAAGAGGGCACCCCTTTCTCAGGTATACTAAAGAAAAGGGCATCCTTTTTTCATGTGTACTAAAGAAAAGGGCACCCTTTTTTCATGTGTACTAAAGAAGAGGGCACCCATTTTTCAGGTGCATTAAGGAAGAGGCACCCATTTTTTAGGTGTATTAAAGAAAAGGGCACCCTTTTTCATGTGTACTAAAGAAGAGGCACCCATTTTTCAGGCGTATTAAGGAAGAGGGCGCCCCTTTTTCAGGTGTATTAAGAAAGAGGGCACCCATTTTTCAGGTGCACCAAATAATCTAATTATTTTGTTCACTTTGTTGCATTGTTTTTATCCCCGAAGAAGAAAGACATTTCTAAATTACTTTGTTGGACGCCATTTTTGTAATATAAAGTTATAATGATAAACACACACAAACTAAGTAAATCAGTAAGGTGAAACTGATTACCACAAAATGTGGCTACAAAACTCAACTACGTCTGTCCAACTTGATGTTTTATTTCATCATTTTTATATACTTCATTATATCTCTAGTCACACTGACCCGTCCTTGTAAACGTCTAGTCACTCTGACCCGTCTTTATTCATGTCTAGTCACACTGACCCGTCTTTATGCATGTCTTGTTACATTAACCCGTCTTTATTCATGTCTAGTCACACTAACCCGTCTTTATTCATGTCTAGTCACACTGACCCGTCTTTATTCATGTCTAGTCACACTAACCCGTCTTTATGCACGTCTAGTCACACTAACCCGTCTTTATTCATGTCTAGTCACTCTGACCCGTCTTTATTCATGTCTAGTCACTCTGACCCGTCTTTATTCATGCCTAGTCACACTAACCCGTCTTTATGAATGTCTTGTTACACTAACCCGTCTTTATGAATGTCTTGCTACACTGACCCGTCTTTATTCATGTCTAGTCACACTGACCTGTTTATGTTCAGGCAGGTGGATGACATCTGTAATGGAGTCAACATGTCCTTGGTTTATCTGTAACAGCTGACCATCATTTGAAGAATAGACGTGGAGCACGTTCCCGACTGCGGCCAAAATCGCTCCAGTTGTCGAGTCTATAGCTAAAGCTGTGATATTTCTATTTGTCGTAATTACAAGACTGACTTCAGCCGGGTTATCGTTTGGCTTAAACAGAAACACATGTTCAGTCTATTATTGAGGACCAGACATTTATGTGAGAAGTTTACATTCTGTAGTTACAGGAGTAGATTCAGAACTATCTGATGTTACTCTGTAGTTACAGGTATAGACTTAGAACTATCTGATGTTACTCTGTAGTTACAGGTATAGATTTAGAACTATCTGATGTTACTCTGTAGTTACAGGTATAGACATAGAACTATCTGATGTTACTCTGTAGTTACAGGTATAGACTTAGAACTATCTGATGTTACTCTGTAGTTACAGGTATAGAT